GGTTCCCACTCCATTTTCATCACCCCTACTGCAATGAGCTCAGGTTTGCTGTCACAAACACATATGATACCACATCAAAAACCAAAAATACGAACAACGCATCTTACTTTTTCTTGGCTCTTTACATCCTTCTGAAGAGATATTTTTTCCTGCCTGTTTATGGCACAGTTTTATGAACACTATAGGACAGTCTTGCTGCACAACAGTGCGACATGGTGGATATGGATGGAGAGGACAGGCTCTTTCATCTGGCTGTGTCAGCAGGATCTCTGTAATGTGAAGCTACAGGCTGAAGAAACTGTTTGCTGAAGGGTGGAGGGTAGGGTGACTGGGTTATTTATTATTTCCTAGCTTGAGATTTTTGTGGCCTCTCCTGAAGGAAGGGTAATGGGAGCAAATCTTTGGCCTGACCATATACTGGATCTTCTTATGCTTTCATGATCAGTGATGTTGGGTTGCCTCCACTTCACATGTCTGTGGAGAGATGTGCTCAAATGTCTGATTTGCCACTTCTGGGTGCTTGTGCTTTCTGAAGTCACTTTCTTCTAAGGGATGTCTGGTGAGAAATACAGGAACAGATATGGTCTGAGATCACCAGTGATTTTGGAAGATTTTGGTTTACTTTCACTCTACAGCACAGTGGGATCCAGCATAGTTTGCTATGCATGTGTTTTGCAGCTGAGCCTGCAGTGCCTTGGTACTGGGCTGCACACAAACCTACCACAGGAGAGAGAGCCTGCCCTGCTCCTGCACAGACAGGACATATGCGAAAGGAATAAATGTCTGCAGGTCGTCTTCTCCTCCTCGCAGTGCTCTGGAGACTGGGCCAGTGCTCTGGCCCACTGGACCCAGCAAACTCTTGGGCCTTTGATTGGTTCTCTCTAGTACCAGAAAACATAAAGGCAGTACAGCCCCACACATCACCAGTTAAATGAGGAGCCCTTGTCTCTGACCATCATTCTGATCCCAGCACTTTGTGAGTTCAGGGCACTGATTTATGTCTTACTTTGAGAACGTGAAAGGCACAGGCCCTACCACTGCACTGTTCCATCTGCTGGATATCATACGGTGTCTCTGGCTTCTTAGGAAACAAGATGCACACAGCTTAAAACGTGCCTGTGCCAAACAGAAAGAAAAGGTGATACTGGGGTCATTTCTGTGAACCCTGCTAATGAACTAATTATTGCCTTCCTGTAATAACAGTGGAGTACTGCTGTGCTTCAGATCTCAGGGACAAAAATCCCCTGAAAGGAGGATTTTAATAGGGACAGTAGAATATGATACATTTTACAGTAATTCTCTCTCAAATTGTTCTAGATGTAAATATTACATGGCTAGCCCATATTATTCACCTAGGGGTCTTTATTATGGACTGGCAAGACTCAGAGTAGACTAGGAATAGTTACCAGGCTTATACCCATTGAGGAATAATTATACCTATTCTACAGATGAGAAATATAGATATATGAAGGTATTATCTTACTTGTTTCACTTAATAAATGTTCTGAGGTTTGGGAAGTTTGTGATCCTTGCTCTTCCCAGCAATACCTCCTTCATATCTGTGGTACACAGACATACCAAGCATTTTGCCTGGAGAATACAGGAGATCAATAAGGAAAAATAGAGTTCTTTAAACTTGCTGACTAGGGATGCTGTCTCAGTGTTACCTGGCAGAACTCAGGGCCATCAGATATCTTGGCTAGCCAGTTTCTAGCAAAATAAGGAGAATATTTTTTTTTTCTTTTATGAATAAGAAAATGTTTAGTAGTGAAAATGCGAGAACCCAGGGAGATTTTGGAGGGGCAGCCCTCATGGTTTAGGCTACAGAACAATTTGGCAAAGGAATAAAGTTCTTTCATAAGGAAGAAAATTTTCTTGCAGAATCTTTTTCTGCAGCACTTCTCATGCTTTGCTCTAGAGAAGCTGGTGTGTACTGGCTCCATCAAGAGTCTGGGTCTTTCAAATCCTTTCGTGGTTGTCCTTACAGCCCATTATAAGCTTGCCTGGAGGAGATCATTGCATGGCATACACTGAAGTGTTACTCTAAAATTTTGCATTTAATATTGTTAAAGACCTCTGCAAAATAAAAACAGAAAGGAGAGTGCATCTAGTCTGTCCCTGATAACTTCTTTGACTTGCAGGAGTTTTGGGAAGGCTACTGCAGGATGCTGGAACTAAACCCGTGGTTTAAAAGTCCTAGTGTATATATTGATTTTTCCTGTTCAGGCCGTTGAGGTTCAGACAAGGAGGCAAGGGAAGTGTGAGAACAGCCACGGCATGCCCGTGAAAGTGGCTCCTATGTTTCAGCATGGTAGATCACCACAATCCTTACTCATAGCTTAGTCCTTTTTCCTTCACTGTGCTTAGTGAAGAGAATCATACAAGCAAGACAGAGGAAAAATTGCCCGTAATGTTTCAGCCCCATGACTACATTACTGCATGTAATAATCTGGAAACAAATATGACTGTAGACATCTCCCATAGTCACAGGCAATATTGAACAAGCCATCTACTTAACGGGGACTGTACATCTCAAACTGCTGCAGCTACGTGGGTGACTGGGTTCTTACTATGTATATAAATTTGCAAGTGTGCAGTAGGTTGTAAAATTTATGAGCACTTTAGCCCTTATAAATTTTATCAAGTGTGACCTTTAAAACCAAAGGTTGTCATAAGTATTACGTGCAGATTTTCATTATTATTAACCCTCTGCTCACCCTTTGCCTTAAGGGGGGGAAAAGAGAGCAAATACACCCCAAAGAAAAGGGAAAGAGAAGATTTAGTTCATTGGATGAAAGTAGTGAAATCACTTTCAGGTGTACAGATTGGCAGACAAAGGCCTCATAGTAAAGATGATATAATCCAGATGGGAGGACTTTGGAGGAATATATTCCCATTAAATTCTAACCACCTAAGTGCAGCATTGCTAAAACAGAATATGTATCAAATAAATCTCTGTTTCCTCAACTAGATTGAAATTTAATAGTTTTCCTGCCAGAATTTAACTCAGTTAAGATTGTAAGTTACAGTTCTGTTGAAATACACTGGACTGACATTCTGAGAAAGGAATAGGCAACTGGAACCTTGAATTGGCGTCTCTGAGCTCCTTTTTGCTTTTTTACATGTTTTGGCTGTTGTCCAGGGGAGGCATGTCAAAGCACGTGCAGGGCTGGAGCATGCCTGGGACCAGGGGAGGGTGAGGCTGTGCAAAGCCACGCTTCAGGGAAGAGCAGCTTTACAGACCTACAGGGGCCTGGGAGAGTCACAGGGAGACACAGGATGTTTGGTTATCACAGGCTTCTTGGCCTAGTAAAGCTTATCCTGGTGCAGTGTAAGGATATCCATGCTCCATTGCAGCCTTTGGACAGGTCCTCATTACTGTCAGTGCATGGTATGTTCTCACTTCTGTCTTTTCTTCTCTCCTTCCATGCTTTCTTTTTTTTGTCACGGAGTGAAGCGCTTTTTTCTCTTTCTTTTTTTTAAAAAAGGAATAACTGCTGTTAGGATTATGTCCTATTACTTAAAGTGCTTGTTCTGCTACACGTACACGCAAATTTAATTATATTGGCCATATGAAAGATGCATGAAGGCTCACTTTTGGGAAATATGCCAAAGAGATCTTCTCAATGTCGAGCTGTTTGATGTAAGCTTGTGCATCGTAATTGAATTACTGATCAAGTACTGTATCAATGAAATAATCTTGGTAAATTCTGTGTACTTAAGTAACTCTAGCCTCGAGGCTGTGGTAAATGGAGTAACCCTGTTATTGATTTTTTTCATTGAATATGCATATCTTATACCTCCTAATAAGACTGTCCTTTCCTAGCTATTTCTGTGTCCTTCAGAACTGAGATTTTTCTTTCAATCACTGGTGAAAGATTATTTTGTCACTGCTTGTACTAGGAATTTCTTCTGTGTCTTTCTTGAGGCCCCTTTGCTGCCTTCTTCCTCAGCCATGGGGAATCCTGCAGCAATGCCAGTCTGCTCCCCTTCCCTCTCCTGTGGCCCTTGCAAGACAGGAAAAGTAGGACGTTCTCTTTCTATGCTCATTACTTTACAAACAAAAGTACTTGATCTAACTATGCTGGAGTTTTGTGGGAAGTTCATTTACATCTGCTCTGCTCCTTCTTCCTGATCTATCCATCCCTATCTACCCTTCATATTGTCAGGACTTAAGGTTAAAAGAGTGGGGCATGACAATAGCAAATATAATCCATCCCTGGTGTGTCCCGGGGACCCCAAGAAGTGATTTATGAAATGCACTTAGTCAATACCTTTAGGTATTTTAGAGAATGAAGATTTTCAAAAAAGTTTCTGGCTTGCTTGAAAATATTCATTGTTCCCTGCATTATGTTACAAGTTGGATCTGACATGCTCCTTTAGCAGCTCCAGTCTCTGGTGAGCTGTTCCAGTGATTCCTTCACACATTCAGGAAGTTTTCCGGGGACATTGAACCCCAGCATTGTGCTCGAGAGCTCCAGCAGGCAGAACCTTGCTTTGTTCAGCTGGAGAAACTGCACTTGGGGGTGAATTAAGAAGCTGGATCGGACACAACCGATGTGTGGGGAATTGAGCAACTGCTGTTCAGATTTCATGGACAACAGCTTGCCTTTGAATGAGAGCCACTGACAACTGAAGGAAATTCCTTGGGGAACAGTATCTCCTGGCAAGAGCTAAGCAGGTCTTGGACTGGGTAGCCTGGCACACGAGGGAGGAATAGCGGTGGACAGATGTGATGAGAACTCTGCTGAGCATGTACTGCTCTATTCATGGGAGAATCTCACCCCTCACTTTAAATGTTGCCAGTGTGTCTTTTCTGGCAGCTGCAGCTACAAAAGCTGGAGGGATAGTTTTTACTCTTCTTCTCCAGGATCTTGTCATTGTATGTCCTTTGCTTTGATGCCTTTATTTATTTTATTTAGTTAAAGAAAAGGGAAAAGAAATATTAAAATCAGAAATTATCTGGCATTAATATGTTTCCACTTGATGCTTGTGTCAACATGGAGAACTTCAATGCACAGCTTCTGCAAGTAAGAAGAGTACATTGTTTCCCACTTTTTGTTATTACAGAATCAGAGAATATGCTGAGTTGGAAGGGATCCACAAGGATCACCGAGTCCAACCCTCAGCCCTGCACAGGACCATCCCCAAGAGTCACACCCTGTGCCTGAGAGTGTCATCCAAACACTTCTTGAACTCTGTCAGACTTGGTACTGTGACCACTGCCCTGGGGAGCCTGTTCCAGCTCGTAACAACCCTCTGGGTGAAGAGCCTCTTCCTAATATCCAACCTAAACCTCCCCTGACACAACTTCAGGCCATTCCCTCGGGTTCTGTACTGGTCACCACAGAGCAGAGATCAGTGCCTGCCCCTCCTCTTCCCCTCACGAGGAAGTTGTAACTGCAGTGAGGTCTCCCCTCAGTCTCCTCCAGGCTGAACAGACCAAGTGCCCTCAGTCACTCCTCACATGGCTTCCCCTCAAGGCCCATCACCATCTTCGATGCCCTCCTTTGGATGCTCTCTAATGGCTCAACATCTTTTTTATGTTTCAGTGCCCAGAAGTGCCACAATATTCCAGGTGAGGCCGCCCCAGGTCAGAGCAGAGCAGGACAATCCCCTCCCTCGACTGGCTGGCGATGCTTTGCCTGATGCCCCCCAGGACATGGTTGGCCCTCCTGGCTGCCAGGGCACTGCTGACTCAGGGCCAACTGGCCATTGACCAGGACCCCCAGGTCCCTCTCCTTGGCACTGCTTTCCAGCATCTCATTCCCTAGTCTGTCCATACATCTGGGATTGCCCCATCCCAGGTGCAGAATCTGGCACTTCCCTTGAACTTCCCATGGTTGGTGACTGCCCAGCCCTCTAATTTGTTGAGGTCTCTCTGCAGGGCCTCCCTGCCTTCAAGGGAGTCAACAGCTCCTCCCAGTTTTGTGTCATCTGCAAACTTGCTCAGTGTCCCTTCCAGTCCTGCGTCCAAGTCATTTGTGAGATGCTGAAGAGCACAGGGCCCAAGATGGAGCCCTGCAGAACCCCATAGTGACAGGTGGCCAGTCTGATGAGCCAATTGCTCACCCACCACATGATGTGTTTATCCAGCTCTGGGCTGGACATTTTGTGCAGAAGGATCCTGTGAGAGTCACTACTGAAAGCTTTACTGAAACCTCAAAAGATTACATCAGCTGGCTTCCTGTGATCAGCTAGGTGGGTTACCTTGTCAGAGAAGGAAATCAGGTTTGATAAGCAGGACTTTCCTCTCATGAAGCCTTGCTGGCTGTGACTGATGACAGTGTAGTCTGAGGTGTTTTTCCATACTTCCCAGAATAATCTTCTCCATAACTTTACTGGGTACTAAAGTCAGACTGACAGGCTTGTAGTTTCTGGGGTCCTCCTTCTCACCCTTCTTGAAAATCAGGACAACATTAGCCAGCTTCCAGTCAGCTGCGACCTCTCTGGATTCCCAAGACTGCTCAAAAAACATCGAGAGAGGTTGTGTAATGATATCAGCAGCTCTTTAAGGATTCTGGGATGAATCCCATCAGGCCCCATAGGTTTGTAGGCATCCAGCTGGAGCAGCAGGTCCCACACAATTTCAGGGTTGACAGAGTTGATCATTCTCACAGTCATGGTCCTCCAGCTTAGGGCACTGAGCCCCCTTGGTCCATCATCCGTGTTGAAGACAGAGGCAAAGAAAGCATTAAACACCTCTGCCTTGTCTCTGCCCCTGTCTGTGAGGTGACCAACCCCATCCTGTAACAAGCTGATGATATTTTTACACTGCCTCTTACCATTAATACACTTGAAAAATCTCCTTTTATTGTCCCCCATATTTCTGGCAGCTTCAACTCCAGTTGAGCTTCGGCCGCATAAATTTTCTCCCTACAATAGCAAGCTGCATCTCTGAATTCTTCCCATGTCACTTGGCCTTGCTACCACTGGGCATACACCATCCTTTTTTTCCTTATTGCTTCTCTTATTTCCAAGAGAAGGTCCCTGCTCAGCCAAGCTGGCCTTCTGCCTCACCTGGTTGACTTCCAACATTTGGGAATTGCCTGCTCCTGTGCCCTCAGGAGGTGATGTTTGAAAAGTGACCAGCACTGATGCACCCCAGGACATGGGAAAACATTTTTCCAGGGCATCTTACTTACTAATTCCCTGGGCAGCCTGAAGTCTGCTCTCCTCGTGTCCAGACTTGAGGTTTTGCTGGCACTTTTCCTCCTGTCAACAGGGATTTTAAACTCAATCATTTCGTGGTCGCTGTGGCCAAGACAGCCGTGAATCTCCATTTCTCTCATGAGATCCACTCTGTTGAAAAACAGCTGATCAAGGAGAACATTTTTCTGAGTCGGTTCCCTTACGGCCTGGTCCATAAAGTTGTCATCCATCTATTTTATGGTTAGGACTGATGTGTGAAACAGTGGAAAAAGAAATATTTAATTTTTTTTAACTCGAATGTCCCTAGAAAAGAGACACCAGAAATAATGTATCTTTGCTGGTAAACTGAACCAAAATGATGTAAATACCTCCGAACGTGAGGTTTTAGATCTACCAAACTGAATGCTGTAACTATTCTTTCTTTGGTGTTTTAGGTGAGAAAAAACCAGAGTTTGACATTTTGCTCATAAAACTAACATCTCATTTCTTGTCACTGATAGCAGGTGGTGCAGGAACTTAAAAATCAAACTCTTCTTTCCCAGAAACCCTTCTCTGAGGCCTTCTGTCTCAATGCAATCAAACTATAGTTTAATTCACCTCCTTTTAAAAAACTTTTGTTTCCTGCTAAATAGAGCAGTCAAAGGAAGTGGGAAAAAACCAACTGGTTTGGGTTTTATTGTAGAATTTATCACACTCTGTCTACTCTTATAATTTATTTTTGGTTTTGTCCAAATTTGCAGTGTGTTTAGTTATGTGCTCAGGTCAGGGCATAGCCAGGCCAGAACCTGTAACGTCAGTTTGAGTGTGGATCATCACACCTTTGCTGCACAGCACTCTGGGAGTGTCTTGGCTTGCCCCGATGGGATGTCTCACCTTCCTTAACAAGGGTGCAGGTCTAGGCCTCCTGAGCATCCACTGGTACCACCGTCTCCCTGCTTCCACGGACTTTTAGCAAGTCCCTGTTTTCCCCCAGTGCTTTGGTCTCCCGAGCAAACAACACTCAGATCTCCTGTGAGGGATCAAGGCTGTATTTTCACAGCCGCCAGCACCGCACAGACCTGCTCCATCACCAGCATTTCTAAGAACTGTGACAGTAGCATTATATATTAATAAAATGAAAGGATTTCAGGCCAGATTTTGGTCCTGTAGAGCTTGGTAAGGATGCCTGACCTCAGTGGAGCAGCAATTCACAGCAGCTGAGGGCATGACCTATCTCTCTGCACTTTCACTCTCTGCTGTATTAACTTGATTCAGAGAGGCAATGATTATGGTTTGGGGTCTGTTATCTAAACTTGAGGCAGAGGACAACAGCAAGGATGCATTTATGGTTAATTTTATACAGTGCCTTGACCAAGGAAAATCTGAAGTCTGTTGCCCCTTGTAATTGATGTACAGACTCTCTCAGACCTTTAAAATCAGGAATGTTCTTCTGTGATTACAAAGGGCAGTAGAAAAGTGGATTAAATTTCTTAAAGATTCTACTGGTGTTCTATATTTTACTTTTCTAGTTTAATTAATGTATTTAGTCAAAAAGAGTTGTAAAAGCAATCCTTGAAATGTTTTCCAAAGCATATATAAACGTTTAAGAAACAAAAATAAAAGAACCTGGACCTTATGATGTAATGTGCAAGATGTTTTAACTCTGAAAGAGTATTTGAAAAAGCAAGGCCTTTTAAAATTCTCTGTTAGCAAGGTAATCCATGGCAATTACAACTACAGAAGATATTGAGCTACTCACACACATTGGTGCTTTACTCAGCAAAATGCAGCAAATGAGACCACTTCAGCTTCCAGAGCTCTTATGAATGCTGTGTTGTTTTAAAAAAAAATAAATAAGCAGGAGTAGGAGCATTGTTTGATCAGAATGGTGAACATTTGGGCTGTCCCTTGGAGTGGTTGCTGATGCAAAGTCCAAGCAGAGGTAACAGGTGAATTTAGGGAAGGGAAGCTATCATTAGTGGTTTCATTTAACATGGAGATTAATACCCTCATTTTCTATTCCTTTCTCATGAAATTAAAACTGTTATAAAATCAAATAATCTGTTTTTAAGAGATGAAAAAGTAGTGGAGTTCAGTGAAGTTCAGGGCACATATAAGCATAAAAGAGGAGGTGGTGAATGTCTCAGAGTAATGTGCAGAAGGACACAGTGTAGTACAGACAGAGGAAAGCATTTATTGGTTTCTTGATCCTAGATCTGACTCAGTAGAAATGTCTTGGCTAAATATGTGTTTGCTTGGGTGTATGTGTTTTTAATTAAATCTTTTCTGATTTTATTCCTCCTTGCAGTTGTTAATCAAAGACTGTTGTCACTGGAAAAATGGAGGTCAGTGACTTAAGAGCATCTTGCAAAAAAGATTTGGAGGTGAGTGAAATTAAATGGATATCTGAATCAGACTTTTTTCCTATATGGACTGAAAACTGAAAACTCATGAGGTTACCTGTAGCCATGTTTGGGATTTTCCAAAGCAGCAGGATCCATAATGTTGGGAACAGACATAGAATTTGAGGGCTCTGTGACAACTCATGGAGATTGTCCTTGGTATTGGGGCTCCATTGTGCAATCCCATTCCCTGGGCCTGAAAGCTTTTGTCTCTATTCTCTGACTTACCAGGGAGATCACCTGATTAAAGAGCCAAATGGTTTTCTTTCAACTGAGTGAATCTTAAATACTTGGAGCTAGGCTGAGCTTCAGGTCCTGCTGGCTCAGCGGTTACAAGGACAAAAAATGAGAGAATATATCGTCAGCTGGATTGGGGCAGAGCAAAGGTTCCTGTCTGGACTGCAGCTCTCTGGGGTCAGAGATGAGGAAATTGTGACTTTGTGGAAAGTCATGAGTGGAAGACTGTGATCCAAAGCCCTTTTTGCTGGCTAAAGGCTGCAGAATCTGAGTGATGTTGCATCCATCTAGGATGTAAATTGTTACTGGAAAAAAAATACTGTGCCTCTTAGAGAATGCTAAAGGCAAGTGTAAAAATGAGTAAAGGTAATCAGTAATTTAGCGAGAGTTTAGTGAGAGATGAGCACTGTGGGGTGGACCCAAAGGTGCCTGGGTTCTGGCCTCTCACCCCAGCCAGTATATTCCTTCAGGAGAGTCCCCCTGCCCTGCAGCAACATCTCTCCGGTCTCACTCCCTTACACTATCCTCTTTTACCCAGAGCTACTTTTTGGGAAGAAAAGAAATTCATTCTTCAAGCAGAAAGCCAAAATGTCGAGCCATTTCAGAGTTTGTACTGTGTTGTATAGGAGGATTACTGCTGGGTGTATGTCACCAACTGATGTTTATGCTTTGTTTTTAAATTTGGTTTTCTGTGTGTGCGAGCAAGCTGTGACTGTTGGGTTGTTGGCTTTGGGTTACAGCTTTGGGAGACAGGGGCCTCTGTGAGCAGGGGGTGTGCTTGCTGTTCTGGATATAGTTTGTTTTTAAGAAGAAATTATCCTCAGGAGAGCCAAGAATGGGTGTGGACTGAATTTTCTTCAATAAAAGATTTGCTTGCATGCAGTTGAAACTGTATGAGTTGATATATTCATGTGACACCTTCATGTCTGCATGAAGGCTGCCCTGCTGTATTTCTGTTCTGGGAACTGTGTCTGCTACTAGCTGGAAGAAAGACAGTACTGATAATAAAAAAATATATGAAACTGGCTTAAATGAGGTCAGGCTTAGCCTATAAGTTCAGATATGAATTAAAAGCAAAATTTTGAGTATTTTCGGGTGTTCAGACCTATGGTTTTCCCAAGAAAGCTCTGTTGGTGCCCTACCATGAGTGCTGTAATAAAGCAAACATCAAGGGCCTAAATTTTTAAAAATGCCCTCCCTCTGTCCTCTCAGCTTTACTACTTTAAAACCTTTCCCTGTTTAAAAGCTTCTTAAGTGAGGGTCTCAAAACATCTGAAAAAAAGGTGAAGGAGTAAAATTTTGTTATGATTTGGTTGCTTAAGCAACCTCTAACTTTAATGATATTGCAGTCAGTGCTCTGTTTTTTTACCTCTGACTGCTGATTCTCCAGACTCAGTAACTGCTGATTGGTGCAATTTGTGGCTCTTGTGCATTTTTATGCAGAAAAACAGCAGTTCAGATTCTGCATATCTCATGTCTGTGTATTGTGGATTGAAAAATTAACACAGCTTTCCACTCACTAAATGCTGTCATCACCATCTAGTTGTCAGAGTTGTTTAAGTCTGTTATTGGAATGGGAAACATGCAAAAGTGTTATTAAGAATCCAGCATCTCTAAAGACTTAGACAGAACAAATGTAATGAGTCATAGGCATTTGATTTTTGAATACAGCCTTCACAAATACACCTCTCAAACACCACTTTGCTGCAAATCTGTAACTTGTTGCGAAGCACAAACTTCAAATCTCTCTCTGAGTGATAAAAGAAAAAGAACAAAAAAGATTGTCAAATCTAGCACATGGTAGGTAAATGATAGGTGATTTTTAAGGTGTTTGATGGAAGAAATCCTGTTCATCAAAGCCTGCAGGTGTGTAGTCTGGCCCAATATGGGCTAAATGGGATCACATCAAAAGATAGTGTTTCTCCTTACATGACACTTTGTGAAAATGTAGGTACTTTTTATAAAGATCTCTCAGAGGGTTATCAGTAATGACTGCGGGAAGGGCCACATTTTAATCAATAGTTGTTGGGTCCCTAAACCTGTCTGTTTAGTCTCCCACAGGACTTAGTGTCGCTGATAATGTCGGAACGGCCAAAGCGACACAAAAAAAGGTTCCAGCAAAGTTTATTCCAAGAAAAAAGCAGGGACCACGGGGCTGCTGCGCAGCCCCTTAAGTACAGTTTTTGAACACACGTAATGCACACGGATAGGACAGTTCAAACTTTCACACCAGAATTCTTACAGCTAATAGGTGCATTTTCTAAACTCTACTTTCTCACGACAACTTTGCTCTTTCTCAGAACAGCCCAGTTCTTTCCCACAACAGTCCCGAGCACCTGCTCTTATTTTTCTCTCATGTTCATGTTTTTCCCAACCACTCTCGTTCAAAACAGGTCCTTGTTCTCATGAGACAGTGCTCCTGTTTTCATGAGACAGTGTTCTCTGTTCCCATGGGACGGCTTCTTCAGGATGCATCAGTATGTTGTCAGGATCAGGGCCTCCATTTTCAGTCCTCTCTTTCAGTCCATCTCAGGGGTATACTTTGATCTGGTCAACATCTATTGCTTCGTCAGTATGTGCCAAGGTGCTGACAGACCCGCTGTCACCCCTGACAACTTAGTTGTCTGCAAAGTCCCTTAGTCATTCGTGAACCCTTTAGAGAGAGATTGCCCACTGTCTCAAAATCACCTCCTGCTTTTGCCTTTTTTTTTTTCTAAGGATCTTTGGGTGCTTTAACAAATCAGTTGGGGTTATTAGCCATGACATCATATTCATCCTGTTACTAATATTCATGGACTGAGCCTGTTCCTACAAACCCTAGTTGCCATGGTCTTCCTCTCCTGTTGCAACTTCCTTAAAGGTCCTTCTGTCGTTAATTTAGCGAGAGTGGTAGTCCTTTAGGCCACCTTTAAAAAAGATTCAGTAAGTGAAGTCCTTAGGTACTGTGAAAGATGCAGTTGTTAGGGAGATGAAGAATAGGAGAGGAATAATCTCCATTAGGATCCAAACCTTCTCTGCACAGGCTCCTTCCTACTATGGAGCTGCTCACTACACTCTCCTGTGTAGCAGAGCTGCACTTCTGCGAAATTGAGTCTGAATTTTTTCAGAACCTGTTGCATTATAACAGGAGAAAAAAAATCAGTGTCCATAGAAAGCATGCAGCTGAGGAAATGGCCTTTGCAGACTCTGGTAGCCCTTCTTTATGGTATAAAGCTTGAAAAGAAGTGTGCAGGGTTCTGCCTGTCTGAAGCATTTCCAGTGCAGTTTGTATTTCTGTTGTCTGCATGTACAATACCAGGCATAGTTTGTAAGTTTGGTGGGAAGGGTTTACTACTGAAAGGTTGTAAAAAAAAAAAGGATTCATAAGGATTCTGTCCTCTCTTGTGAACTTGCCAGCTTTGTGATCAATGTGCTTTACCGCTCTGCTGCATGCCGCAGTAAGTTACAAACACTGGGATTACTCGTTTGACTAAAGCCAATCAATTTTTGCCAGATGAAACAAAAGAAATCAGTGGGTTTAGGCTGATCCCTGTAAAAAGGAGAAGATAAATCTCTGTGCAGAGCCCCTGGGTTACCTCAGCAGGGCAGAGGGCTGAAGCTGTAGCATTGGGTCCTGCCCCTGAGAAGGAAGCAGCCAAAGGGCATTGCTCCTGGTAGTGGTTCTCTTCAAGAAGCATAGTGAAACCACTTTCCTCTCCTTATTTATATTACAGCTAAAGAGCAGGCAGCTGTTATCATTTTTCTTTCTTCTGGTAAATAACTGGCTAAAAAGCTTGCTATCAGTCTGTCCTGTTTTTTCTATGTATTTTCTTGATTGCTTAGTGATGTTTAGTATTCTTCATTCCTCTGTCATTTGATCTGTTGGGTGATAATAGCAGACATCAAAAGCGAGGATTTTGTCTTAGAAACCCTACTGAGGACAGCACAGGCTTGATGTGGCAGAAGCAATAGGTTCTGCATCTGCTGGTATCAGCAAAGTAATGATGAAGATAATTCTGTTTTCTCTACTGGGTAAGTTGTTTGTTTGTTTTGTTTGGGTTTTTTTGGGCTGTAACATTCTCCCCCCTCCATATTTCTCTCCAGTTGTACAGCTCTTTGGACAAGGGCCATCACTGAATTGTGCAGAGGACAGAGATCATATGCTGAGACATTTTGGTGGAGCTTAACCATCAATGTGTACATGGCCTCGGATCATAATTAAGGAGTCTTAGCCCTCCTTTTTTAGCAAACCACCCTGTACAAGCAATAAGACTTAAACCCACACTCAGCATTCATCACAGACACAGGAGTTGTGCTGTACAGGGCTTGATTCTCTTTCTGATGGCAATTGCAGGTCCAGATATATAATAGACAGATCTAAAAGAAGGTGGGCTCTGGAGCTGGTGGGTGCCCAGAGGAAGGCAGGGCAGAGGTGGTGTGTGCTGTGCCCACGTGTATAGGAACTGAGAGAGGGGACAGCCTGCTGGCATATCCCAGGCAGTGGCATCCAGCCTCACTGGTGATAGGTGACAGGTCCCTCCCTGGGCCCTGGGGCAGGTATCCCTGCAGGGTGCTTAGACCCTGCAGGTGCCTTGTTTGCAGACTAATGCAGATTAGGGGTCAGAAGTGCCTCGTCTACTGATGCTCTCTCCCAGTGTGTGGGGTTATGTGTCATCCAAAAAGCCTTCCTCAGGCCAAACGTGCTGCACTGCCTGGGAGTTAGGTACTGAGGCGAGAGACACTGTCATCCTCTCCTCCCTGGAAGT